TGTTTCCCCATCTTAAGAAAAAGGGAAAAAACCTCACGCTTATCTCAAGATAAAGGTTTAAAACATTCTCGCATCACGTGGACATCACATCCATCTCAAAAAGAAAAAGAAAAAATATAGGGAAAAATTTCTCAAAAAAAATCTCACTTACATAGTCCAAACATAATCTCCAAGATAAAAAGTCAAAAACTTTCTCAACGGGACCAACCAACATGGGCCACGTGGCATAGCTGGCTCGCCATCCTTCTAGTGCGCCTTAATGGGTTTAATTAAAATATGATTGTGACCTTTAAAAAAATGTTTGCACAATGTAAAAAAGTAATGTCATAATTTCAAATAATGTTTCATAACATTCAGAAAAATATTTCTGACATTTATAAAAAAATTCGTGTGTTCCAAATTTTTAGAAAAAAATTATACAATGTAAAAAATGTTCGAATAATATCAAAAAATGACAATGTGTAAGCTGATGGAAAACATGGTAATTCGACACGGCTGAGGGTCTGGCCCAAGCTGAAACTCAAAAAAAATGTTTAGCATGTATGCCAAAAAAGTACAATTTGATTAGAAAAAGTCTACAGGTATTTGGAAGAAAAAACTAAAATAAAAGGGAAAAATAAAATAATAATTTTCACCTGCAAAAAACAAACAAAAAAAGCGCCTGTAAACGAAGAAAAGAAATACACAGAGAAGATTTTATCACAGGTTTGAACCGGCTTATACAACCTTATTAAAATCACTCTACAGTGTTGGGCCGGCCATTAGCTGCTCGCCAAAGGCGAGATGAGGGTAAGTAATGTCACCGTAAGCGAGACATAGCCCTCGCGGACGTCTGGCCCAAGATGAAACTGAAAAAAAAATGCCCTGCGCTTCGGCCGAGCGAGCCGATCCCCAAATCGGGGACAACGCCGGCCGCCGGCCATTGTTCCTTCCTTGGGGCATCCACCTACCCACGGAGATCTCTCGACGTGGCGTCGCCGCGGAGTGCCGTGCCGATGAGCTGGAGCGGGAGGCCGCCGGCGACCGGGGAGGATGCGGGATATGGCAGCGTCTCCGTCGCGGCCTCCCGCCCGAGTGCGCGCGGTGCGGAAGCCGGAGGAGGAGGAGGAAGAAGAAGCCGTTGGCCACTGTTGGCGGTAAGAGCATCAGCCGTGGTGCACTGCTTTTCTTTTGCCCCCACCTACCTATTTTGGGGTAATTCACAAGATATAAACAGGGAACATGCCCGTGCTTCCCAGAAGGCTGAGAAATGGTGCGCTTGGCTCGGTTCCTGGAGCAAACATATCGGCTCGGCCGAATAGACTGACGGCCAGGAGACCGAAGAATATCAATCATTCACTGCTGCCTGAAAGTAACATCCTCCCACTAGTATAGAGAGCTATAGCAGCAGCAAGAGCTTGTGCCTGCAAAACCGACTTCACATTCGATGCAGTTACTTGAATGAAAATTGTGCTGTGGGTATTCTTTGTGTTGCTAGAAAGAAATCACACCCAATCCTGCTATATTGGAACAGAGTAATCCTAAATACTTCTCGAGCAGGCAAAGATTGATAATTCTAGACAAAGACTGTAGGGGACAATATAGATTTCTTTTAGCGAGCCGGTGTGCGAAAATACACAGCCGGACCTGTGTCTAGGCGCACCCGAATTGGCATAATAATAATATATAAAAAATCAACAAGTATTGTCTAGTGTATTACTCCTGTGTAAAGTTTCGCGACAAAATGACTTTCATGGTATTCGGAACAAAGAAAAACAAAACCGATACCATATTAAACTTACCATTCGCACACTTTCTACTTGCAACATTTTGTCCTTTTTTGCCAACAATACCACAAGTCATTTTGTTCTGACGTGAGTAATACACTAGACAATGCTTGTTCTGACAAAGTTTCACATTTTTTTTTATTTTCTTACTATTTTCTATTTCCAAAAATCCGCTCCAGCCAATGTGGAGCTATATTGGTATGAAGGAGTATGGAATGAGAAAAAGGAATCTGCGGCCCCGCACCAAAAAAAGCTAAAAAGAAGCAAAGCTACCAGCACCAGATTATCCAAAGGTCTTTGCTTTACCTCAGAAAAAGAGCATCAATTCAGACACAAGTAATCTATATTTATATGCCTTGAGCTTCCTTTGCCTCATCTCAGCAAAGAAGAAAAGAAAGAATATATTCATTGCCACCTCTCCATCATATATTCTTGCTTGCTAGCCTGCCTTGCCTTGGAGCTAGTGGCATTCCGTTGGGTTTCTGGACTCTCCTCCTGTATATTGCTGCAGAGCATCTCCCTCCTCCCCGGTCTCCTCCAACACTTGACGGCACCAGCCTACGCCTGCAATCAGCCATCTCCGGCGTGCCCAAACAGCTCGATCAGCTGCCTCCCTGTTCGTCGGCACGTGAATCTTTCTTTCTGCATGCTCCTTCCTCTGACAAGAACGATCAATGCTTGCTAGTGGCAGTGGCTAACCGCAAACAGTTTTTTTTTCCTTTTTCTTTTCTACATGCAGCAAGCAAAGTTGTTGGTTCCAGCGGCGCAACGCAGCTATGGAGGTGGCCGTCAGCGCAGCACGGTGGGTGGTGACCAAGGCACTTGCCCCGGTGACAGATGGCCTGCTGGAGGCGTGGGCGGCCAGCTCCGGGCTCGGCCCCAACATCGACGCCCTCAAGATGCAGCTGCTCTACGCCCAGGGGATGCTCAACAACGCCCAGGGGCGGCAGGGCAGGGACATCACCAACCCTGCTCTCAAGGGGCTGCTGCACAAGCTGAGGCAGCTGGCGTATGTCGCCGATGACCTGGGCTGCCTCCAGGACGCACTGGAAGGCACCTACCACGCAGCAGCCGGCGTGGATGACCTGGGCTGCCTCCAGGCCCTCGCCCTCAACGCTCGCCACACGGCTAGATCTGTTGCCGGCAAGATCAAGTCCATGAGCTCCTGCTCGCGTGCTGCTAGCCCACTTGATGCCCAAGAAGATATTGGTGGGAGCCGTGGATGCTCATGTGCCGGCGGATGCATGCCCAAGGTTTCCTCTGGTGCTGTTCAAGCTGCTGTTGGTAAACACTTCCCATGCTGCTACTCTTCTCCTCATACCAGTGAGTTAGTCGAATCGTCCAACGTGCCAGCTGCAAGCAAATGGCGGCTCCTCTGTGGCGCCTGCCCACCCAAGGCACCGACACAGAGAGTTCGCAACACAGAGGAAACACCAAAACTGAAGTTTGATAGGGTGGAAATGTCCAAGAGAATGGTAGACATGGTAGAGCAGCTGAAGCATGTATGTGCTATGGTCTCCACCATTCTCAATCTGGAGCTACTAAGCTTAAGCCGTATTCCTAACCCAGTCAACATTCCTATGGATCGACCCAAAACTACCCCACAAATTATAGAGCCTCAGCTATATGGGAGGGATACCCAGAAAAAGGAAATCATAGATGGCATCACTCATGGTGAATATTCTTCCAAACAACTTACTGTCCTTCCAATTGTTGGGCCGGGGGGTGTTGGGAAGACAACCTTTACACAACACATATTTGAAGAAGTGAAGAGCTGTTTCCAGGTTAGAATTTGGATATGTGTGTCTCTCAACTTCACTGCTGATAGGTTGGCACAAGAGATTTTGGAGCAGATCCCCAAAGATAACAGTAGTGAAAGCAAAAATGGTAGTAGCAAAGAAGAGCAAATTGAACAAAGGTTAAGATCAAAAAGGTTCTTACTTGTCTTGGATGATGTGTGGAAATATCATGATGATGAGTGGAAAAAACTAGTAGCTCCGTTCAAAAAGGAGGGGACAGAAGGCAATATGGTTATAGTCACAACTCGAATTCCAGGGGTAGCAGACATGGTCAGGACAGTTGACCATTCTATAGAAATGGAACATCTTGGTCCTCAAGATATGTTGTCTTTCTTTGAAGCATGTGTATTTGGTGACCAACAACAACCATGGCAAGAACATCCTGAATTACAAGATGTTGGGCACAAAATAGTGGAAAAATTGAAGGGTTTTCCTCTTGCTGCAAAAACTGTGGGTAGATTGCTCAGAAAACAGCTCACATTTGACCATTGGACAAGAGTTTTGGAAAGTAAAGAGTGGGAGTCACAAGCTAGCGATAATGACATTATGCCAGCCCTCAAGCTTAGCTATGATTATCTCCCTTTCCATCTGCAACAGTGTCTTTCCTACTGTGCATTGTTTCCTGAAGATTATGAATTTCATGCAGAAGAGTTGGTTCATCTGTGGATTGGACTTGGTATTTTACACTCATCAGATGATCAGAAGAAAAGAATTGAAGATGTTGGATTGTGTTACTTAACTGACTTGGTTAATCAGGGGTTTTTCAAAAAGAATGTATCGAGCCTTGGCAGTCCTCGTTACACCATCCATGATCTACTACTTGAGTTAGTAGTGAAGGTCTCATCATATGAGTGTCTTAGCATATCCAGCTCTAATGTGATGTCCATACAAATTCCCCCATCTGTACGTCATTTGTCTATCATTGTAGATGATGCGGACGTCAAGGACACGGTGACTTTTGAAGACTACAAGAGGGGTTTGTGTGCATTGCAAAAAAGATTTGAAGTTCAAAACCTACACACGTTGATGTTATTTGGAGAATACCATGCAAATTTTTCAAGGGTTTTTCATGGTTTATTTTTGGAAGCCAGAGCCCTTCGCACTGTCTTTTTTTCTGGAGCATCATATAATGTGGAGGATGTGTTGCCAAGCTTTTCAAAGCTTGTTCATCTTCGCTACTTAAGGATCAAGTCAGCTGGTTTTTATGATGAAGCCTTGTGCATATCTAGTGTGTCGTGCAGATTTTATCACTTGGAAGTAATTGATCTACAAGGATGGAAGGGCCGCTTCGGTTCAACAAGATAATATTAGCAACCTTGTAAAATTGTGCCATTTTGTTGTGCCCCGAGAAGAACTTCACTCTGACATATTTGAGGTGGGAAAACTAAAATTCATCAATGAGTTGAGGGCATTTAGAGTGGGACAAGAAGGTAACATGTCTGAACTGAGTCAAATAGGGAAACTGGCAAATATTGGAGGATTACTTGGCATTTACAATCTTGAAAAGGTGCAGTCAGAAGAAGAAGCAACTGAATCAAAACTGATACAAAAAAGCCACATGAAAGAGCTAATATTAGACTGGGATGTTCAGCGATCTAACAGGGATCCTAAATTTGAAGAAAATATCCTTGAAAGTCTTGTACCACACAGCAATCTTCAATGCCTAAGCATTAGAGGGCATGGAGGCACTGCCTGTCCAAGATGGCTAGGTTCAAACCTCTCAGTCAAGAATCTGGAATCTCTTTCTCTGGATGATTTGTCTTGGGGAAACCTTCCACGTATAGGAGAGGTGTGGATGGTCAATGATCTTGGTGTTGAGTATCAGGACTGCATCTTAGGCCAAACATTTCAAAATTTGAAAAGGCTAGAATTGGTTAAGATACCAAGATTGAGAAAATGGGTTGAGGACAATACTTCTCATTTGTTCCCTCAGCTAGAAGAACTCACCATTAAAGATTGCTCTGAACTCACTGAGCTGCGATCTTCCCATCATAATAGTGGTCTGCCACAGCAAGAGAAGGACATGGCTTGGTTTCCTAGACTAAAGTCTCTCAGGATAGAAGACTGCCCAAAGCTATTGTCATTTCCTCAAATCCCTTGGACTTCTAGCCCTTGCTCTGCTGTGATAAAACGGGTGGACGCTGGTCTTGAGAAGCTAGTTTACGAAAAAAAGAGCGGAGCAGACTCAAGTTGTTCGCTGGAAGTGAAGGGAAAAGATAACCGAGACAGTTTGTTTTTGAATAAGTTGGTTTTCTCTAATCTAACTTATCTGAAAAAGTTGTTCATTGAAAATTGCTCTCCTCTGCTGCTTGATAACCTCCTAATGCTAACATCTCTCGAGTTCCTCTCAATATGTGATTCAAGCAATGTATTATCCCAGGTTGAAAGTGTGAGCCATGGCGGATGCCTGCTATCTGTTAAAAAGATAAGTGTCAGACGATGTGGTTGCAATGGTAAGGAATTGGCACAACTGCTCTCACTTCTGCCGGAGCTCACCGAAATGACAATAGTGGATTGTCAGGAGATAAAATGGCTAGGTGTGGCGGGGCAATTATCAGCATCTTCTTCTTCTGCTGCTGAACAATTGAATCATGGGCAAATCGGACAGCAGCAGCAAGAGTCGAAAGGAGGAGTAGACGTAGTGCTGCTCTTGCCTCCCCAGCTACAGAAGTTAAACATCCAAGCGCTCCCAGAGCTGAGCTTGCTCTCCTATTCACTGGAAGGTGGCAACGAAGGAGGTGGGCTCCAAGGTCTCTGCTCCCTTCAGTTTTTGACAATATGGGATTGCCCCAAGTTACTCCACTCCTATTCATACTCTAATATTCCTTTTCCAACCTCCCTGCAAATATTAATTTTGAGTGGTTGTGGGGAGTTCAGAGGCAAGGGCATAGGCCCTCTCCTCGCCCAAGGCCACCTCACATCGTTAAGCATCCTTAAAACCCCCAACTTCTTCGTTGGTTCTGAGCCACTTGACAAGGAGCTTCTACCCTGCTCCTCTGCACATCAGGAGCTTGAGCTGAAGACAGATGATATTGCAAGGTTCATTCCTGCTCATATCTGCAGCCTCCTCTCTTCCTCCCTCACCACCCTAACTATTGCTTGGAACAAAGATGACGATCGCTTCACACAGCAAGCGGAGGCCCTTGAGCTCCTCACCTCCCTCCGGACGCTCGAGTTTAGATCTTGCGAGAAGCTGCAGTGCCTCCCAGCAGGTCTACATAGACTTGCCAGCCTCGAGACATTATGGATAGGGTCCTGTCAAGTCATGCGGTCGTTACCAGAGGACGGCCTCCCGAGTTCTCTGAAAAAATTGGTGATCGGCGACTGTCCTGCCATCAAGTTGCTACCCAAGGGCAGCCTCCCAAGTTCGCTGCAAGTATTAGATATATGGTACTGCCCTGCCCTGGTGTCTCTGCCCAAAAACGGCCTCCCAAGCTCTCTGCAAAAATTGGAAATCTGGAACTGCCCTGCCTTAAAGTCGCTGCCGGAGGATGGCCTCCCAAGATCTCTGCAGGTAATAACGATTAGAGGGAGTACTGCAATCAATTCGCTGCCCAAGGGTGGCCTCCCAAGATCACTGCAAGTATTGGATGTCCATTATTGTGACAATGAGGAGCTAAAGAGGAATTGCCGTAAGTTAAGAGGAACCATCCCAAAGATCATAATTTAACCTGACCAAAGGTAACAGCTGCTCATTCCTACTTCCTACTCACTAATTTCCCCTGCCTTTGCCTAACCTCTGAAGCATCCGAGTGGTTATTCTCTGTTTTGTTCAGTTCATTCAAATTGCTGCCATTCCACCTGTATAACTCACTCCCATACACACCTGTACTTTCAAAAACTATAGCATGCCCAGATCATTTGTTTTTTGGGTATGCTTTCCCTTGTTACCAGGTTATTTGAAGTTCTGAAGAATGTTTGTTTCAATATCGTGCAGGGCTCTGTGTCTTTTAGCCTTGTAGATATTCTATTTATCCATGCACATCTGGCGCACGAGGCTTGTGTGGTATCTTTCTGTGCATAAATCAGGTAACTACATTTAAATGTACGTCTTCTCCTGCTGTATGTTCAGTTCATCGAAGCAAACTGCAGTTCACTTGCATAACCACTCAAGCATTATCTGTTTTGTTCAGTTCACCGAATTTACTGCAGTTTCACTTGAATGGACCTCTTGTTTTAATGTACCCTGCACATCAGTTCTTCAACTTGTATGTTCTTCTAGCCTCTTAGAATCCAAGAACGTCTCCAAGTTGCCAATGGAAGCATTCAGGTAACAATTTGCATCTTCCATCCTGTACATAAATCTGGTCAGTATATGCAGTATCATCCCATACACCCGTTGTTCCATAAATTATAGCATGCCCAAATCATTTTGTTGGGTTTTGGTTTGCCTTCTTACCAGATTATTTAAAGTTTTAATCAATGTTTGTTTCAATCTATCATGCAGCTTTGCCTCGGAGTTGTAATTCTCTGAATTCGCACAACCACACACAGTTCTCATATCATTGATTGAGTCGCACCCTCCTCCTGTATACATGACTGGCCAGCACACGACTTGTAGTGTGTCTTTTCCTAAGTGGCAAGACTGGTGTGACTCAATTTGTGGGTAAAGATGTACACCCTTTGCAAAGGTATTGAATCTGTTTGAATATCCACTACTGCATGGGATAAAACCGATTTCGTTAGTTATTCTAAGCCTAGCCACTTTTAAGTCACTTTACAGAAGGCCATTCCGGGGCGCGCGAAAACCTATGGATAGTGCCATAATTCGCCGAGGCTACAGATGATTAGGCGCAGTCCTGGTGGTCAGTATGTGTGTTAATCCATTGTTAATTAGTTGTGTGCCTGTGACTCTGCAACCAATCATGATTCTATATACAAAGAATTGCTAATCTTGCAATTTCCGCGCTATTATGAAATATCAGGTACACGTTTCAGAGAAGTTAATGAGCAATCTAATTCCTAAGAAGGTATGAGCTCTATTTGGTTCCCTTAGGCATAGTGTTAATTCATTTTATCACTTGTTTATGCTAAAGTCGTCTTGATGTGGAGATTACACCATGATATATATATTAAGATGAGTAAAGCCAGGAATCTAATGGGTTGAGTTCTCTAGCTCCTAAAGTATTCTATTCAGAGCCTCCATATTAAAATGAACAAAACGAAAATGGTAAAACTTCTTTTGCTGTTAAAAACGAAAAATGAAAAAGAAAAGTGTTGTTACTTTCCGATAGGGCAGCACATTCCATTTCCCAGCTAGTTACCAGCCATAAGCACTTCACTAATGTCTAACAGTTGGATTTTCTCATCAACCCTGAGCCACCCATGCCAAAAACTGGGCCAGTAATCATCAGAAACTATCTGTATTCAGTCTACAGCCACTGACCATAGTGCACTCCCATATGGTTGCATTTGGTTATTTGTTGAATTCTTCACTTTGTTGTTCGTTTACTGCGCTAAGAGGTTTTCTGTAACAGAGCAACAACTCCGACACACTGCTTTCCGTATCTGGGTCGATGCAGAAGTTGGAAAGGTGGACGCGAAGCTTACTTGCTACTCCCTCATCAACTCCATCAGCCCACAAGTCAGTTCTTGTGGCTGACCTGAAATTGGCAGATTTCAAGCAGTTCCTAGCAAATAAAGGCCTGCAGGTAGGCCTCTGTACTGTGTACCTTAGTCACTCCATCCTTCATATTTTACTTTTAGAGCGGGCATCAAACCAATATATTTGGTTATATGCCCTGAAACCATTGAAATTTAGTGCTAAGAAATTCTTTCCAGGTTGAGTTTGGTGGGGCTACTCTACGGTGCGGCGAATATTTCACGGTGTGCAAGATTGGTGATTTTCCAAAAGGTAACTTACTACTGGAACTGCCATACATTTTGCAGTGATCAGTCTACAATCATGATAACCCGCCTTTCTATTTATGCCGCGCTCAGTCTATGTATAATATTAGTTGGTGTGCCTGTGACAGGTGTGATGGTGCATTGCAGGGGAGCGCGGATTCTCAGAAGATTGTGATCGAGGGCCCGTTGTGTGAGGACAAGATTCCGATTAATTTAATCCATATGAAAACATGACATCTGTGCTAGCAAGATTAAATGCACACTGTAATGTACACATGTGAGGGTGTACTCATAGAGCATGCATATCTATGAACATAAAGTACTGCAAACACATACCTTCAGTAGGGAAAGTAGGGGCAGCGGCAACATTTGCATCACCCATGGTGTGGTCCAGGAAGTAGTCGAAGTCGTGGACAGACGTAACCGAGCAGTCGCGCCAAGATGCTCTCCGAAACCTTATCGCCCTTCACCCGGTGCAGGATCACACAGGGCACAACGACGTTCCCCGAAAACCTCCCCTTCACCCGGTGCAGGATCACAAAAGGGCGAGGCTCCAGAGGCCTCGGGAGCAGCAGCAAGAGAAACAACGGTATATAGTTGGTCGGGGTAGAAGAAGTGGGAGTAAGCCCACAACTGAGTCTGTAACAGGCCAAATAAAATGCACACACGGCATATGTCTGAGCTCAGCTCTTCTCGTTCACAAAACACGAGGCGCAAAGCAGGCGGAGGAGGAGCGTGTGTATCACTCCTCTTCTCCTGCTCTAATAGGATGTGGAGGAGAATTCCTTATATATTGTCCACACCCGGGATAGGACTAAACTCCCGACCATGTCATGAAATCACTAGTGGGCGTTTCAGACTTTCCAGGAAATAATTGATATATGGGCCTAAAGCCCATCCATATTTCAACATCAACACCTATTAGGAACACCCATTAGTCACAAATCATATTTTCAGAATTGGTTTGTAGAGCTCCAAAATCAAATATTTATCTATTTCTTTATGTATTCTCATTTCTGATATTAAAAAAACTCACTCAAAAATTATCCCAATCTTTTCGCAAAATAAAAACAAATTTTGAATTTTGAACACAAAAAAAAATTTGACATTGTTTTTTCCATTCCTCCATGAAACCATCACAATCACTGTATTCTTCTTTTTCCTAAAACACGCAGGAGAGCTGCATATCATTCCATTTAAGATAAATATAGAAGTACAGAGGATTGCCATACAAAAATCACTGTATTCTCAAAATGGACAATATACTTATTTGAAGAAAAAAACTTCACATTAAACAAATCATTTTCTATATTCAATATTCCAATACAGAAATCTTAAATTGAACATCGCAAATTGCCAATCCTCTACTGAACCACCAGAACCAACCATAATCTCAAATTGGACAATGTACACATCTACAAAAACTATTCTCATGTAAAAACAACCCACTCTCACCATTCAGAATTTTGATTCAAAATTTGCCAGTCTTTTTCAGCATTGCTGCTATTTTTCAGACGTGGTGGGATAGGACTAATTACATGTATGCTCTGATTCAAATTGAGGTATCCTGGCCCCTGTATTTTGCACGCACATTTCTAGCACAAGGATATATATGGAGAACAACGCACAATGAACAAATAATGAACAATATCCTATCAAAATAATTTACAACGCAAGAGCAAAAAGAAGGGACTTTACATACACGATCAGCGTCAGGAAGAAGGAGAGGGGCTGCGCAGCACTATCTGTCCACCCTCGTCCTTGTCAAACACCTGCTCTATCAGGTCGTTCCAGCTCACCCGTGGCTGCTGCCTCGACGACGCTGGTGGCGGGAAGCTCTCGCTCCTCTCAGGCCGTGGGCCGTCGTCGAACGTGCCGTAGATCGACGCCATTCCCGATACCGACAGCGTGGCAGCCCTGCGCAACGCCGCCTTGTGCTCCTCCACGTGTTCCCTCGGCACCGCCGTCTCGTCCCGCTCCATCCGCTGGTTCGATGGTGCCGCCATCGCGCGCTCCTTCTCCAGCATCAGCTGTTCATGTCCACATGTCATATGAGCAATGATATGTGATATGACATTATTATTATTTACTGTTTCAGTCTGGAAATTGCTGCAGATACATGGCATGATGCGTGCTACTTGAATTTGAAGTTGAACAAAATTTCCACACCTTCCTAGACGCTTTAACAATCTTACATTTTGATGTTGACATATCTACACTCAAAACTACCTTGTACTCTAGATTGTGCACAACTTGAACCCAGTACGTGCTTCACAACACGGCCTGATCTACTCTAGATGGCATGCACTCCTTGAGACAACAAGTGCTGGATTGCGTATTTGAAAGCTACCAAACATGCAAACTAGAATTTGGTAAAACAGAATTTTATTTTACTTCTCTGTCAGAAACACCAACATGACATAAATATGATGTGTATATACACAAGACTTACATCCAGAGCTCTCTGGCCTTCCCGCTCGATCCAAACAATGGCATGATCCATTGTGGCGTTACAGGATAGAACGACATGCTCAAATCTACCATCTACCGGCACAGCTGTTTTGACTACCGGTGGATATCTTCCGCACCTGCATGGATATCACCAAGAAACTGTGTTTAAGAAAATATCGGAAGTCTCCAATAGCAAAAACATAGTAATCATTAGTGAGAAAAATTCTGAAGAAATCAGCATCGTGTTAGATAGTTTTAGGCATTATAAAACAGTAGTGTGGGCTGTGTCATAAATAGTGTTTGAATAAGTGAATTACATACTGACAACATGAAGGTTCTCATAGGATACTAGGGAACAGAGGATTTTTTTTTTAATACCAGTAGCATAATATTCTCTCTACTTCTGACATTTGTGAGAACCTCTGTTATTGCTCATGAAGTGTTTCGTAAAGAAAGATACTCTGCAACAATGTTATATTTCAGGTCCCTAAAATAGTTTTTCTACATTCTAGATCAACAGTAAAGGGAAAACAAAGGTACCTGAAACTTTTCCTTTCCACAATGTGATATATCCGACCTGGTGCATAGAGCCTCCTTGGATCCTTTAACATAGCATCTTCAGGTATGCACGTGTCCTTTAAACATCTCAAACATAGGAGACATGGCAGACTGCCCAAGAAGAGAAGATGGCCCAATTTTAAAATTGCTTCAACCCACAAAGCTGGAAGAAAATAATCACATTGCATTCAACAAACTCGATATCATATCATAGCTAGTACAGTAAACATAAACCAGATATTAGAAACTCGAATCAAACAGCCCGGCTACATTTGAATTCATTCCTATTGATCCATGGTTTATGAGTTTGCTTGCAATTTACTGATACTGAGATATTATTTCCTTTCCTTAAGCCATTTAAAAAAAAAACCTAATGGCCTCTGTATTGGTTCTGGTTTCGGCATTCGAACGCCTTGCTATTTATCCATGATTGAGGGGTGTCGTATAGATTTTTTGTATGATGTTCCTTAGTAGTTTGAGCTAACTATAACAGTGTTAATTAACCAACGTTTATGGAGACAAGAGAAATAGTGGGGAAGGGCATCAAGGTACACAAGAGTAGTACGTAATATAGTAGGGTGAGCAGGAAAAACCAATGTGTAATCTTTGGTAGTTACTATACTAGAAACCACAAGAAAATTATTATATGGGGGTAAACTCGTGCTCAGATAAGAACCAAATGCCCCTATATCACAGTGATCAGTCACATTAGAATCGTGATGTATCCCAAGCGGGGATACAGTTGCCACTTGGCACTTTGAAGGCCTAAATTAGGCAACAGAGGTAACTATAGAATCAATCGATTGATGTGTTTATCACATTCCAACACTTAGTTTTCACGTGATACAGCTATGGCTTGTCATTGGCTTGTTAATGTTCGATTGGAGTAAAAGGGAAATCCGGAAGTACTGGCTGGCCACTAGAATCACATGATGTGGAATTGTGTGCTACTAGAATCATATAACTAACAGCACCAAATACGAACATAGAATAAACCGCATTGGTGGCATGTCCATACCAGAGAATCGACTTGAAGATATCTTCTAAAGGAGTGGCCGTCCGAGGCAAGAAATCATCCTGTCATTTGCAAGAACAACAGTTATATTCAGCCTATACATACTCTATTGACCAACAAAGCAATGTTCTATCCAGATATCAGAGGCAGAGCAGTTATTCTTGTCTGACAGAAGTAGCACCCAACAAAATGCAGGTAGACATGTAACTAAGTTCTGCAACTGAACTTTTAGCAGCAAGCAAGCACCCAACAAAATTCAGACGGGCATGTAACTAACTTCTGTAATAACTGAATTTAGTAGCAAGCAAGCACACAACAAAATTCAGACAGGCATGTAACTCAATTTCTAACAGCAAGCAAGCACACAACAAAATTCAGATAGGCATGCAACTCAATTTTTAACAGCAAGCAAGCACTCAAAAAAATTCAGAGAGGCAAACTTCTGCAACTGTACTTTTAGCAGCAAGCAAGCAAGCAAATCAATCGGTCAGCAATGCAATGTCTATCTCATTCAGAAGCAGAGCAGGTATCCACAAAAATTCAGTCTGACAGCAGTCGCACTCTAACAAAATTCAGACATACTGCATGTAACCAAATTCGTACAACTGAACCTGTAACCACCAAATTCAGGCAAGCAAGCAACCAAATCAATCGGGTCCTCACTGGCTCACCTGAAGCACGACGGAGTTGATGACGTCGGCGTATCGGACGGCGAGGTTGAGCGACATACAGCGGGCGGGGGCCATGGCGTAGCACCGGGTGCGGCCCCTCTCGACCTTGCCGAGCTTGTCGAGGTTCAGCACCACAACCATGGTGAGCATGGCGGCGACCCCGGCGCCGAGCGAGTGGCCCGTGAAGGTGAGCGTGTACTCAGGGTACCGGTCGAGGAGGTCCCGGAGCAGGTCGCACTCCCTGTCGAGCACCCAGCCGGCGGCGCGGAGGAGGCCGTTGTGGACGTAGCCGCCGTCGAAGCGGCGCTTGCCGAGGCGGTTGTCGAGGAGCAGCGCGTAGTCGGACTCGCGGCCGAGGTTGAGCCCGCGCAGCGCGAGCACGATGTCGGCGTGCGCGTGGTCGAGGTAGACGAGGTAGGGCGTGACGCGGCCCCCCGTGTCGGCGTAGGTGCGGCGGCGCACGACGCAGGCCGGGTCGAGGAGGAGGGGCGGGGCGGCGAGGAGGTCGGGCGGGGCGTAGTTGGCCATGACGAGGCGGCACATGCGGGGCACGGGCGCGAAGTCGGCGGCGGCGGCGTGGCCCCAGGTGGCGCTGTCGTGGTGGCCGGAGTGGACGCACCGCTTCCACGCCCACCGCGCGCACCCCAGGCAGTAGACGCACTCCAGCAGCGGCAGCCCGCACGCCAGCGACATGCGCCGCCGCGGGGAATTCCGTCGAGCAGGTCGCGGGCGCGCGGCGGCAGAGAGATCGGGTGGGATATTCCGGCGGTGGCGATCGGATCCAGGGGGGTAGCTGGGGACGGAGAGATTTTGCGGGATTATTTTTATTACATTGGAGTAGACGTAAATACGTAGGAGTTTTTTTGAAATAATAATCGGATCCGATTTGGTTGCTGGGCAAAACAAAATTAAGATTGGGAGTCAGATGGATACAGGGTGAGAGACAGGGACTGACCAAACAATGTGGATGACAAGGCATGCCAAATATTGCAGTGGACCGTTGAGGTCGACGAAAGTCATCATCGGCGCCTCGTTGTCAAATCGGTGATACGGGCGTCTGCCATAACGATGGATAACTCGTCGCTTTCATGTGAAACATGGGATTCGGTTCTGGAGGGCGGGCAAGAGGGCTACAAAGTGTCGCGCCGACATCATGGCTTATGATTGGTTCTATGTCGACTTTTGTGTTTGAAGAGAAAAAATACATGATTTGCCCAATTGATTGAATCGTGTATGGGTTTGAGAACGGCTTTGAATTTGGATCCAGGAGTGTCGAATCAAAGTGTCCACTTTTTTAGATTATACGGCGATTGTTTGGCGGAGGAACGGAAGATTCAAAGCTCGGTTTGGAATTTGTATATGTTTGAATTTCAGAATCGGTTTTGATTTCGTGGAAATCTTGAAATGTTGTAAGAAAATGTGAAATCATTTAATCTTGATAGGCATTTGAGACTATAAATTAAATCTATGTAAAAATGATTATTTGGAGTGCATCCATTCGGTGCTAGGTACATATGCACCTGAGCATGAATAGTAAAATAGTAAAACTAAATAAATAAAATTTAAAACAAGAACTAAATAAATAAAATGGCGTCCAAGATGCTCGCATGCGTGATGTGTGTGCAAGAGGTGGTGGCAATAAAAACAAAATTTGTCCATGAAAAGAAACTTTGAAATAGTACACTCTTTGGGCTTGCTTTTGTCTGGAACTTCTGGAGTGTCCAGACATCACAAAATTTTGCCAAAAAAAGAAAACAGAATTTGTCACCCGCAAAAAAAATTCAGTTTTTTGCGAAAAAGGTTACTGTCTTTTGAATCCACTCTTCAATGGGCGTTGAATTCACTGTCCATCAGGTGTAGATGAGCGCAGGTTCAGAAGTGAATTACCAGATTATTTGTGGCTAATGGCATGGATTGAGACTCTGAGAGTGTCCTGACTGCGACGCTTCCTCCTTCAAATCATGTGATGTTTGGTGGGTGGCTCTTTCTGGCTACCTACAACACTCATGAATCCAGTAGAGCCTCCACCGAATTCTGGATGCAGTCAGATCAAATCACATGTGTATGTTAAGTATGTTCCCTTCCCTTGCCCACACAATCAATCTGCATTTTCCCTTCATTTCATTTCCAACTAAACATACTTTTTTCTTCCTCATAATATCATCCACTACTTGCAGTTGCATTTTGGAACACAAACAAAAAGAAAGAAATAATAGAAACAAGGGAATAACTGTGCGTAAGGTACCTGAAACTTTTTTCATCCATCAGTCACTTTCACAGGAACTGTTAGATATTGATCCAATGGTCCAAAATAGATCGCGGCATTGCTCATCGTCTCCCCCCCCCCCTGCATTCTTCCTTCTTCCTCTTCCCGATGCCCCAGCCACTACTAGGGAAAACCCTAGTAGTAGTGCGGGATGAAAGCCTACCAATAGCGCGAGCATACCAGTAGCACCGAGTCCCGTGCTACTGATACGACACTACAGCTATTGCTTAGTAGTAGCGTTGGTTCGACCAGTGCTGCTGCTGCCCTACCTAGCAGTAGAGTGGGCCCAACCTGCGCTACTGCTATAATTTTCTGTATTTTTATTTTCTTCTACGTATTTGCGATGTATTTGTAAAGGTTTTACAAAGTAGTGTCATTATATGATTTTATGATCCATCCATTTGAATCTAATCCGCGTTTCTTTCACCAAATGATATAATAACTCATCATTATCATAATAACAACTCATCATGATCATAATAACAACTCATCATCATCATAGTCATAACAACTCCTCGTCATTGTAACAACTTCGGTGATCCGCTGCGTCCGCCCCCACCCCTCCCCCTCACGCCCGTCGGACGCTACCGCATGCCGCCTCGCCGCCCTGCCCTCCTATCGACCTCCCCTCACCGCCGTTGCTCGCCGCCGCCCCGACAATCCCTCTAAGCCCCATCGCACCAATGGAGAACTTTGGCGATCCCCTGGACCCCCCACGCCTAAGATAGATAATGGGGTCGCTACTTCCCCGTAAGATATATGGTGGGGCTAGTTCTTCTGCGGCGAGCTTCTCCGGTGAGGTCCGGCCAAGAGGAAGGAAAGGAAGAAGAAGGAGAAGAAAGGAAGAAGGAAAAAAGTGACCGACGTGAGAAGAAATTTCAGGCACCTGAGAAATAGCAAATCTGTAGAAACAACAGTCACATGATCAACTTAGCATATCAGTCTCCACTTGTCCATCAACTCATCTGTTCCAGAGCTGGCTTCTCATCCACATTCCCGAATTATGCATCTGCCGAAGGGCCCTTCCACGGGGAATTAGTTCTCACTTTTAAACCTTTCAGGCATGATCTTTAGCTATTTTTGACAGAGCTAGATTCCTCCTTGCTCCATACGGATGTATATAGACATATTTAGAGTCTAGATTCACTCATTTTGTTCCGTATATAGTCCGCATTGGAATATTTAATCATATATATCACTAATTATTATAAAAATCTGTTTGGAGCGTCAGAGGAAGGAAACTTCATGATGGATGAGTCCCGAACAGATGACACCCCCCAGGTCTCCGATGAGGAAAACAGCCTTCCAACAGCTCCATACTCTGAGGAGGAAGTTAGAAAGGTGGTTTTCCTAATGGAGCATAACAAAGCCCCGGGTCCGGATGGTTTTCCCGCTGAGTTTATCAGAACTTCTGGAAAGTCATCAAACGGGATCTCCTACTTTTGTTTAGCGACCTACATGTTGGCCAACTAGAATTGTTTCGCTTAAACTTCAGTGAGATTATTTTATTATCTAAGGTTAATGAGGCTGAAAGGATACAACAATATAGACCTATTTGCCTCCTTAATGTTAGTTTTAAAATATTCATGAAGGTTGCGACTATTAGGCTAAATTCGATTGCTGAACATGAGGTTCGGCCTTCACATACATCTTTTATGCAAGGCAGACACATCCTAGATGGAGTTGTTATCCTTCATGAAACAGTCCATAAATTACACCAGAAAAAGTTGATTGGGGTGGTACTCAAAATAAACTTTGAAAAGGCTTATGACAAAGTCAAGTGGCCCTTTCTTCAACAGTCTCTCGGAATGAAAGGATTTTCCGCAGAATGGTGCGCTATGATACATAGCTTCGTTTCTGAAGGTAGTGTTGCCATTAAGGTCAATGATGACGTTGGACACTATTTCCAAACAAAGAAGGGGTTGCGACAAGGTGACTCGGTATCGCCCATGATATTCAATATAATGGAGGATATGCTAGCGGTTATGATTGAGCGTGCCAAGGTTGATGGCCAAATTGATGGGGTAGTAAATCATCTAGTTGATGGTGGTCTCTCTATACTTCAATATGCCAATGATACGATTCTGTTCATGGATCATGACCTCGAGAAAGCGAGAAATCTGGAACTGATTTTATCTGCATTCGAGCAACTCTCGGGTCTTAAGATCAATTTTCATAAAAGTAAATTGTTTTGCTTTGACGAGGCTCAAGACGAGGCCCACCTGTACGCTGAACTATTCGGATGCGGGTTGGGCCAATTTCCTATCACATATTTATAAGATCCTCGAGAATAATCAATAAAGTGGCCGCATGCATCTTCCAGATGCAGAGACCGGGGGCCATTCTCCTTTTTTTTAAAAAAATAAAACAACGCTTAAATTACGGTGAGCAAGCAGAAACAACATTTGCAGAACATACATTACTCAAGCTGCAACCAATGCTAATAAGTCAATTACTGAGACAGAAGAACTACATGCGAAAATAAATATGAGATCCGCTTTGATACATCCCTCCTCACAAAACGTATAAAAAGGAAATATAGACCTTTGACATTTGTACGCAGTTTTGTATGTGTATGTATATATAGTGGGTCACTCACTGAACGTATACACCGTATGGCCCAAATGCCAATACCGAACTTGGACGGCCCGGCACATTTATATTTCTTTCTTTCTTTTAAGATTCAGAAAATTACAGCGTGCATGATGGGATTCGAACACCAACACTATACCTTAAGTATCGAAGGTGATAACAACTGAGATATCCTAACTGTCGTGTCCATCTACTTCTTTCACCCTTATTATCGCAAGTTTTATTTTCAAAAAACCCTTCTTATGTCAAGTATAAGCAACAACAGCAGCAGCAGCAACAACAACAACAACAACAACAACAACAACAACAACAACAACAACAACAAAGCCTTTAGTCTCAAGCAAGTTGGGGTAGACTAGAGGTGAAACACATAAGATCTCACGACCAACTCATGGCTGTGGTACATGGATAGCAATCTTCCATGCATCCCCATCCATAGCTAGTTCTTTGGTGATACTCCAATCATTCATGTCTCTCTTAACGGACCCCTCCCATATTAAATTAGGTCTACCCCGCCTTCTCTTGACATTCTCCGTACACTTTAGCCGTTTGCTATGCACTGGAGCTTCTGAAGGCCTGCGCTGAATATGCCTAAACCATCTCAAACGATGTTGGACAAACTTCTCTTCAATTGGTGCTACCCTAACTCTGTCTCATATATTATCATTCCGAACTCGATCCTTCCTCGTGTAGCCACACATCCATCTCAACATACGCATCTCTGCCACACTTAGTTGTTGAACATGTCGTCTTTTAGTCGGCCAACACTCAACGCCATACAACATTGCGGGTCGAACCACCGTCCTGTAGAACTTGCCTTTTAGCTTTTGTGGCA